TGCACCATGCGCGCCCGTTGATGTGGCAGTTGTAACAAGATCGCATCCGAGTGTGCTGCCGAGGCTGTTCATTCGAGACGAGCACGGAGCCCTAACGGCAAATAGCACGCTTGTCCGCTAATGTTTGCGTTCGGTGCCGATGCCATTTGAGCGTGTCTTGGGCGCTCTAGGGGCCGCCTCAGAGCCTTTGTATGTGCCTCTCTTGGGGCCCTCATGGGCGATCTTGTAGCCATCTGGAGCGAAATTGCGCGGTTCGAGGTTCTTATGGGCATCGTTGGGGATTCCGTGCTCGTTTCGAGCCGTATCGAGGCGGTTTGAGGGAATTTTGGAGGCACGTTGCTGGCGGTCGCCTCCGTTGGGGAAGATGCCAGAGCGTCGCGCGGCCTCGTCGCGACACCTGCCGAGAGGGCTGAGAAAACACGGCAGCTGCCACCGGGGTGGGGGCGCAGGAAGGGCAATCCTGCCACCTCTTGCTCCTCCTCCTCCCGCCCTCCCCCTGCAGGCCGCAGACCACAGCCGCGTCGGCCTTGAGCCTGCCTCTCCCTGGACGCCATCACCGGGCGGGCACGGGCCTCCACCGATCGGGACTCAAGAGACGGGGGTCAATACAAACGGTGGTCAGCCAGAGCGCCGGATTTTGCAGGATCCTGCAGGGCCAGGGTCGCACTGACCCGGGTTTGGGCGCAGGATCTTGCAGGATCCTTTGCATTGACCCGGGCTTGGGTGCAGGATCTTGCACGGCCTGACTCTAGGCCTCCTAGATGGGGTCGGAGGATCGCGCCGCATCGCCGATGCATCGACTATGCGGCTCGATGTGGCGCCCGTGTTTCCCCACGCCGACGCCGCCGAGGCATCGCCGAGGCATCGCCGACGCATCGCCGATACACCGGCGATGCATTGGCGATGCGGCGCGATCCTTCGACCCCACCTCCTCGGACCCCATCTGGGAGGCCTCTACTGACGGACCCGAGTCTGGCTAGACCCGGGTCAGAAGATCCCCGAACCGAGCTGGGGCCTGAGCGCACCGCTCTGGACGCCCGAGATGGGCACGGAAAGAATGGGTACAATGCCCAACAGCAGTTCCTGCCCACTTTGAACAGGAGTCGCTGTCCGCGCCGCCACGGTCTGTGCCCATTCGAGACAGAAGGCCGCCTGCCCAACAGCGGCCGCTGTTGGTTTGAGACAACATGTGTTGTTGGGCATGGTACCAATCTTTTCCGTACCCACTTCGGGCGTCCAAATGAGGGCACCGCCCCCGGCGCGCCCGCTGCCGGCGCACGCGGAGCGCGCTGCCCGCACGGCGCTGCCGGCCCCAGCCGCGCACCTACATGGCTGTTTTGACGGGCCGGCGCGCGCGGCCTGCGCGGCCGCAGGCGCCCAGGGGGCAGCCTGCCCGACCCGATCGGGCAGGGCGCCCCGGGGAGCTGCGCGATGCCCCGCGTCTCGCCTGCGACGCAAACCTCGGCGTCGCTCGGGCGTGTGCATGTTCCCTTCGGCGAGAGCCATCGAGGAGCATCCTTGATCGTGTGGCGAAAACACCACGCACCAGTCTGAGCGAAAACGCAGGGAATGGACGTCCGAGCGATGGCCAGGGACCGGAGCTCAAGAGACGGAGGTCGATGCAGACGGGGGTCAGTCAGAGCGCAGGATCCTGCAGGATCCTGCAGGGCCAGGGTCGCACTGACCCGGGCTCGGGCGCAGGAGCATGCAGGATCCTGCCAGGCCTGATCGACCAGGGTCTGCACTGACCCGGGTCAGTAGATCCCCGAGCAGATTCGGGCACGTTGCCCTCAACGACGCCACCTAGATGTTGACCGTCCCTGTGAGACGAGCTTGCTCGCTGTTCGTTCTGCTCTGGACGCTGCCATCCCTGGGTGCGCCTGGCACCTCGCGGGCCGCGAGACTTCTCGGGGCAGAGGTGCGAAGAACGTCGCGCGGCCGCAGCGACGACTGCCGAGAGGTAGTGGGGCAGCGCGGAGGCTGCTGCGAGGGAGGGGCGGGGGAGATGCAGCGGATTGGAACAGCGCCCCACCCCTTCCATCCGAGGCGGGGAATTCTCCGATGCCGCTGCCCCTCCCTCGACGCCACGGCCGGATTCGCCTCGAAACCCGTGGCAGAGAGCGCCCCTTGAGGGGTCCGAGGAGTGGCGGTCTCAATGCTTGCGTGTGTCCCACCCGCGTGGTAAGTTTTCGGAGCTCCGCACGAGCCTCCTCCTCCTCCTCCTCCTCCTCCTCCTCCTCCTCCTCCTTCTCTTCCTCCTTCTCCTCCTCCTGCTCCTCCTCCGCCTCCTCCTGCTACTCCTCCTGCTGCTCCTCCTGCTCATGCTCCTCCTCCTGCTCCTCCTCCTCCTCCTCCTCCTGCTCCTGTTCCTCCTCCTCTTCCTGCTCCTCCTCCTCCTCCTCCTGCTCCTCCTCCTCCCCCTCCTCCCTCCTCCTCCTCTCCTCCTCCTCCTCCTCCTCCTTCCTCCTCCTCCTCCTCCTCCTCCTCCTCCTCCTCCTCCTCCTCCTCCTCCTCCTCCTCCTCCTCCTCCCCCCCCCCAGTCTTCCTGCAGGGCACCGGTGCCGACCGTCCCCATTGTAAGTTCGCCCCGGCGGTTGCAGCGGGAGCGGATGGCGCAGGGAGGCGCGTGCTTCGGGTAGGGTTAGGGGGGATCGCCATCTGTTGAAGGATATTCTCTAGGGAGTGGTGCCCTTAATCGAAGGAGAAAAAACGGCACAACGTAAACTTCCGACGCTCCGTGCGGATTCAAGAAATCCGCGCGGAGCGTCGGAAGTTTATGTTAATGTATGTGTTTGTTCCTTCCTCTACTTAACAGATCCCAAGAACCACCCAAACGACCCCACGCGTTCAGAAACCCCCTCAGGCTTCGATCTTGGAGCCTCGATTCTCAGGAAACAAGTGGTGGCCCGCCCAGTGCCCGAACTGCACGCATATACCCAGGTGTTCCGATCGCCCACGTCGTCGACGAAGCTCCCCAGCGAACGCGTTGAACGCCAGCCCCTGGGATATATCCGCCCTCTGCGCCTCCGTCGACTACCAGCGACCGCGAGGCCGTCGTCCCCGCACCCTCCTGGCTTTGCGCTCTTGCTTTCGTCGGCAGCTGCCAGCGGGCAGGCCTCCGTCGAACGGGGGTGCAGGGGTGCACCACGGCCCCCCCCGACGCGCCCGTCGGAGTGGCGCCCGTTGGCACGGCCGAAGTTCGGGGGTGGACAGACCTCCTACCCTGACACGTCGATTAAGGAATTGGCCGTGTTCGGTTCGCGAGGGGGCGTCGCGGCCGTCATTTGTGCGGGTCCAGGTCTGTCGGTTTCGGTCCCAGGCCGTTTTCACGAAGGGGAGGTTTACTAAAAGGAGGTTTGTCCACCGCCGAGAAGTGGAGGCTCTAAACCGTGGTGCAGCCCGTGTCGCCGACGGAGATCGGGAGCCGTACGCAAGGCGCGGGAAGCAGGAAGGGGAAGACCTTGAGCAGGACGACGGGGTGCCACGATGGGCCACCTCCCTCGGGGGCCCCGCATCCCTCATTGTTTTATTATATGAAGTAGTGGGATCACTTGCACCGAAGCGGTTTAGGGGAACACATTGATCGCAAGCAAAGGGGGAGGAGGAGGCGGAGGAGGAGGAGGCGGAGGCACGATGGGCCACGATGGGCCACAATGGGCCACCGCCCTCGGGGGCCCCGCATCCCTCATTGTTTTATTATGTGAATTCGTGGGAGCACTTGCACCGAGGCGGTTCGGGGAACAGCCTGATCGCAAGCAAGTTGTATGCATGGAGTGATCTCAAGACGACTCCCCCGTATTACAAAGGTGCGCAGCTAAGACAGGAAAGCGAGGGACGGGGGAAAAAGGAGGAGGAGGAGGAGGCGGAGGAGGAGGAGGAGGAGGGGGAGAGAGTGACGGTGCTGGGGACCTTTTCGGGCAAACGCTTGTGAAAGGAGGAAAGAAGGACGGGGAGGTATAGGACATGGGGCCCTTTAGAAAAAGGGCGCTTGTTGAGAGAGTGGGGGATACGAACCGAAGGCAGAGGTGGAAGAGCAGTAGCAGTAGTAGCGGCTTCAGTGTCAACGACCTTGTTTCGTCACGCGCGTTGCCCGTGCACGCTGTCGGACCTGCTCTGGCGTCGTGCCGCTGGTGCCCATTTGGTTGTTGAAGCTGATTGCCACGTCTACATCGCTTGGTGTCAGCACACTGCCGCCGTCGCCTATCGGCGTCATCTGGCAACTTGGCAGATGGGTCCTTTGGTCGCCTTGGCACTCGGCCGCTGCTAGCAGCTAGCACTATCATAACTACTTGCGCGCATCAGTCGCCACCGCATGTCACCTCTTGCCTTCCATGATCATCGACGCTGTGGGATACAGTGTCCTTTGCACCTATTTTGGCAGCGCGTCAATTCGGACGCGGGTGCCGTTGACCCAGGTCTCCCAGATGAACAACCCCGCCACCGTACGAGCGACGCAGTTGCCAGTGACCCAGATGTTCCAGATGGAAGCCCTACCACGGTACCAGCTCGTCGAACAAAACATCGATCAGTTCTACCAAAAAAAGTGGGAAACAAGGTGGGAGGTAGAACCTTGTGCGCCGCTGTCGAAGGCCATTGCAAACGATTCGCCCTCCATCCGTATAAGTGTTGGGAGCTTTTCAGTCGAATGTGCGCGGCACTGAGACGATAGCCATATTCTGAGAACCACTCGCCCTCCACCCTCCCAACTGTTGGACATCTGTATAAATATGCGCTGCGCTGAGTCCGGAGCCACATTTCGAGAACGATCCGCTCTCCATCCGTGGAATTGTGCAATATGTCACGTTTCAGTGCCATACGCTGCGTGTTGTATGGACGTCTCGGGCGAAACGCCCGTACCGCCTTACCGGCATGTGGTGATGCGACGAGGAGGAAGTGTTCGGAAAGAAGTGGGACAGAGAAGGACGACGCTGAGGATGAGAGGGGGAAGGGAGGTGGAGGAAGAGGATGAGAAAGCAGGAGGAGGAGCACCTTCCTGCCAGGAGCTCTTCAAGCAAAGGTTCCCGGATGACCCCGACCTGCCAAGCCTGCTGAAGGACGTGACGTCGGGGGGGCGGGGTCGCAATACTCCTGCTGCGCGCGCTCGCCCCTGCACCCAGCACTCCCGTTGAGCCTCAGGGGTGTCTGCGGGTGCTTCCGGCCGCCGCGCGGCGGCGTGCTCCTGGGAGGACGAGTCCCAGACGGCGACGGCGGCAGCGGCGGCGACGGCGACGAGCACGCCGACGACGGCAAACGGACGTCGGCGAGGTCGGCGGCGGCTGCGGCGACGACTCGAAGCCGACGCATCGGAGCTGTCGTGGAGCGCTCGCTGACCGGGGCCGCGAGGCGAGCGCAGCCGAGGGGCCCCGGCCTTCCAGGAGGGCCGGGACACAGCGCCATGACGCCGACGCCCAGAATCCAGTCGAGGCTTCAAGCAGTCCAGATACTCCAGATCTCGTAATAAAAGGGAGGGGGTCTCAACCCTCCAAGACAAGCCATTTCAGACCCCCCCCGTGGGAGAACCCTCCAAAACTCCGCCCCCAGACCCCCCCAGGCCCTCCAAGATAGCCTGGAAGAGACCCCCCCGAAACGAGACCCCCCTCCCTTTATTACGAAATCTGGAGTAGCCTGTAGGCCCCCTGGAAGGGCAGGGGCGACGGGAGGCGCCCGAGGGGAGACTTGCAGGACGCCTCGAGGCCCTCCTCCGCGGTCGACGTCTCGCCCTCGGGACCCCGGGAGGTCTCCGGAGGCCCCGGGCTCGCCCCCGTGGAGGCAGGAGGAGGCCCTAGAACGTCCGAGGGCCTCGAGCCCCGACCTTTGATGCTCGGCCCTCGGTGGGCGACGACAGTGCTGTTGACCACGACGCTGTTGCCGGCGACATCCACGAAGACGACGACGACGACGACGACGACGACGACGACGACGACGACGACGACGACGACGACGATGAACGATGCTGGCAACGGCGACGGCGACGACGACGCACAGCAGCCGCAGCTGAGGGAGCGGTGGTCCTCACCCTCTGGGGGACCCGTCGGCTTCGGCACTCCCGTCGAGGGATCGACGAGGCCGCAGCTCCCTCAGCCGCTGCTGGCCTGCCCACGCGTCGCCGCTGGGCAACGCCGCCGTCGCTGGTCGTCGTCGACAGCAACGCCGGGCTGAGTGGCTGGTCTGCTCGGCGGTGAGCCCAGAGTTGGAAGCGTCAGCCACGCGCAGAGGGGGGCATGGGGGAGGCTGAGAAGGCTTCTCAGAGGGAGGCTGCTTCCTCAAAGGCGCGGGCCTTCTCCGTGGATCTAAGGCCCGCGCCTTCTGAGAAGCAGCCTCCCTTCTGAGAAGCCTTCCCCCCTCCCCCCAGCTCCCCTCTGTGCCTCGGATGGCCCGGGGGCTTTGAGAAGGCGCGCCGCCTGCCACTTCCCTCCCTGGGCCGGCTCCCAGCCAGGGCCTGGGTGGATGGTTGGGGCCTTCGGGGCGCGTGTAATGGGGGGGCGGTAAATGCGGGGGCAGCGAGGGCTGCAGAACAGGTAGCCTTTAGGGCGAGGGCCCCGCCTCTGGGGCCCGAAAAGGGCGCCTTTCTCCCCTCCAAACCTATCGCCCCCCCATGCATTCGCGCCCAAGGCCTGGGTGATGTTTGTCTTTTTTTGTCCGCCGGGTAGGGCGGGATGTTCGTGCTGCCGCTGCTGTTTTTGAGCCGCAGGCTCCACCTTTGCGGCCCCGCCCGGAAGGGAGGGAGGCCCGCCCGCTAGACGGTGCTGCGGGGCTCGACGCTTCCTCCTGCCGAGTCGAGCCAATCCGATCGACAAACAAGGAGGAGGGGGAGGAGGAGGAGGAGGAGGAGGAGGAGGTGGAGGAGGAAGAGGAGGAGGAGAAGATGGAGGAGGAGGAGGAGGGGAGGAGGAGGAGGAGGAGGAGAGGAGGGGAGGAGGAGGAGGAGGAGGAGGGGGAAGGAGGAGGAGGAGGAGGAGGAGGAGAGGAGGAGGAGGAGGAGGAGGAGGAGAGGAGAGGAGGAGGAGGAGGAGGAGGAGGAGGAGGAGGAGGAGGAGGAGGAGGAGGAGGAGTCCTTGATCACCACGGCGAAAAAATCGATCCGATCCGATCCTGGGCTCGCTGCCGAGCTGCGCCGCGGTCCGGCGCCGTCGCCGCCGCCGAAGCTGCCGAAGCCCACGGCAGCCTCGGCCTCGGCCTCGGCGCGCAGGAAACGCCACAGAAGACCGCGGGCGACGGCTTCGGCGACCGGCGGTCCGCGGGCGTCCCGAGGAGCCGCGGCGCGGCCGATGGGGCGGAGCGGCTGGGGCGGCAGGCGGTGGTCAGCCGAGGTTTCGGCGGCCTTCGCCTCCTCCTCCTCCTCCTCCTCCTCCTCCTCCTCCTCCTCATTCTCCTGCCCCTCCTCCTGCCAAGCACGAACGGCGCACGACCAGGCGCCCCCCACCCTTTTTGGCCCCAACCGGTCATGCAGCCACTCTCGGCGTCTTATTGCGACGCGCTTGTGGTGGCAACCTGCAGATCTTGCATCATTCACTGGTGTGGGTCGTGCTGTTATCGATGGGTTGGTTAAGACCGAGAGGGAATCATGCAGGCACCTTTTCCTCAGCAGCTTCTTCATCAGTGATGGCCACGTGTGACCTTGTTTTTTACTTTCTCCACGTCGCTTTCGTGCTGACAGGGTGCAGACTGTGCCCTTCTGTACTTGAGTGTGCAAGCTGTCCTGTGCATCGAGTTCGTGGTCCGACCCTGGCTGCAGAGGCAACGTGGGGAGCCGCTGGCATTTACCCGCACACCTGCGGTCTGGTTTTTTTTTCCTGGCGAGCCGGCGTTGCTGTCACGGCCGTCGTGGAGGACATCCGCCCCGGGCACAAGGTCGATGGGAGAGCCGCTGGCGCCACTGGCATTCACCCGAACACCTGCGGCCTGGGCGTATTTCAGGCGAGCGGGTGTTGTTGTCACGCCCGTCGTGGAGGACATCCGCCCCGGGCACAAGGTCGATGGGGGAGCCGCGGGCGCCGCTGGCATTTACCGCTCCCCTGCGGCCTGGGCGTATTTCAGGCGGGCGGGTGTTGTTGTCACGACCGTCGTGGAGGACACCCGCCCCGGGTGCAGGGTCGATGGGGGGAGCCGCTGACATTAACCCACCTGCCTGCTACCTGGGTGTGTATAAATCGTTGTGCTGGAGTGGTGGCTCTTGCTATGAACTGGGAGCTCGTGGGGCGCTTTCCCATCCCGCCGTGTCCACGGTTAACCTCTCTGGTTCTATAGGTGTACGTTATATCCGTTCGTCTGCGCAGAGGCTTGAAAGAGGTCCAGAGGACAAGTCGTTTTCGAACGCGGGTACGGTGTTTTGTATTGATACTGCGGGGGTGCCAGTGGAGGAAGCGATCCATTTTGCGGGCTGCCCGCTGACCAATGTCGAGTTGCCACAGCATTGTCGTGGGCCGCATCAAACCTTTGTCACCTCATCTGAAACATTGTCAATACCTATGGTTTTGACCGTGTACGTCTCCGACCATTCTCTCATCGACTTGGAGATGGTCAGTGGGTGGTTTTATGTGTAAGACGTCGTCTTCTGATCCTGCTTATGCTTATGTTCCTCCTCATCCTCCTCCTCCTTACCCTGCTTCTCCTCCTCGCGTTCGCCGTGGAGGTCAGGGGAGAGGTATTGCTTATAACTTAGTCATTGGTCTCGTCTCGTCGCGCCTCCTCCCATTCCTCCTCTTCCTCCTTCTCCTCCTCCCGTTCCTCCTGTTCATTACATTCCTCCTCCTCCTTCCTCAAGCAATTTCGGCCCTAGCTGGCGCCTGGCGCCAGGTGCCGCGCGCGGGCCGAGGCAGCAGGGCGCGCGCAATCGGCGGCGGCGGGCTGGGGCTCGCTGCGCGTCGGTTCGCGACTTGAGGGGGCGGCCAGGATGAGCTGCCGCTAAAGTTCCTGCTGCCCCTGTGCATGACAAGAGGCAGAGGCTGGTAACGAGATGAAAGAAAAAACAGAAACATCGACGACGTGGGGAGGAGCCCCGTGGAGGCGCACCTCTCGCTTGGCATGCAGACCTCCGAACATCAAGGGGAAGAAGGCCACGCAGTACATGGTGAACCCTCATTGTCCTAGGGGCAGTGGCAACTGGGTTCGTTGCAATCGGGCAGACAAGCGTGGATGGACAGGCAGAAAGACCTGCAGGCAGGATTGGAAGGCTACTAGCACGGCTGCGAAGTCAGACGGCGACAGAACCGAACCAGCAGAGGGAACGCCCAACCCAATGCTGGAGTTGCCCAGGGGAAGCAGTACGCCCAGGCCAGCGAGCAAACCGACCAAGCCAAGATGGACGAGATCCTCGCGGAATGTCCCGCAGCGAAGCCACCAGCACCAGCTGAACTTGTCGAACCCTCCATGGGCCAGAAGCTTCAACACGCAGTGGCCGAGCCCAACCGCCTCCAGAAGTACCAGGACAAGTTGGCCAAACAGCTCAAGCGCGCCACCGAGCACCGCAATGACGTGCCCCACAAGGTCAGCGAGAACGTGGCAGACCTGGCAGAGGCCAAGCGAGCCTCCCGAGAAGGCGAGGCGGACGTTGGCGGAGATTGCGCGGGCGCGCCGGAGCCAGCTAAGAAGAACGACGACTCCGAGGAAGATTGGCCCACCCTGTCCGAAGAAGAGCTGGCAATGTGGGATGACAAGCAGAAGGGAGAGCATGCAACAATCCAGGCTGAATTCCAGCAGACCAAGCAGTACATCGCGGCGAAGAAGGAGGCGGTCCAGGATGCGAAGAAGGCGCTCGAGGCGGCCAAGCGCATCCAGACCGCGGCAAAGGCTTGCCAGAGGCGCGAGGGCGGCGACGGGGACCCCGTGGACAAGAAGGGGCCTGCAAGTGAGCCAGCAGGTGTTGCAGCTGCTGGGGATGGTGCTGCGCGACCAGCTGAACCTGAAGTCCAGCTCGCCAGCCAGTTCGACCTCGCCAACGACGAGCAGATCCAGCCCTACCTTGCGCGGCTGGCGCGCGTCAAAGGCAGAGCCAAGGTCGCGGTGGCAGCGCGACAGGTACCTCCCGCAACTTCGGAGTCCATTCCGACGCAGTGGCAGGGTAAACGGTGCCAGGCCGACGCTTTCAGCAACGCCGACCGCAACTACCTAACAATCCAGGGCCTGATGCGGAGGGGTTCGAGAACCAAACCTGCAACCCGGGCCGCGTTGCCAGAGGGCGGTCTGGATCGACGCCGCGATTGAATGCATCGCCCAGGGGGTATCTACCCAGGCAGGCGGCCACAACAAGTCGGCGCACACCGACGAGATGAAGCCCATCTTCAAGATTTCCGCGGCCAATTGCGCGGAGTGCAACGGGCCGCCAAGAAGTC